AGCTACATTCTTCAACAGATTTGACAGCATACAGGCAACTGAACGGACAGATCTCCAAATGCATGCGGCGGGACTTACGCAACTTCAATACAGCTCGTATTGAAGAAGCGATCGAGCGGAACCAAGGCTCCAAAGTCTTTGTTAGAGATCTGTCTGCCAGAAAGAGCCAACTGTCAAAGCTAAAGATCGAGTGTGGCAGCATCGTTTCCGGGGCACCTGAGATTTTGAGTGAGATTGAGAGGTTCTATGGGCAGCTGCACACGTCATCGTTGGAACCACACGTGAGTGTGAGTAACGATCCAAGAGCGAGTCTTATCCGACATTATTCCGATGATATCCCGGACGTGAGTCTGAGCGAGATTAGAATGGCTCTCCAGCACCTTAAAAACGGCAAGGCCCCAGGCGAGGATGGAATTACAGCGGAGCTTTTGAAAGCGGGTGGAAAACCGGTACTTGAAATCCTTCAGAAGCTACTTAATTCCGTCCTCCATGGTGGCATTACACCGGAGGCGTGGAGCAGAAGTGCGGTGGTCTTGTTCTTCAAGAAAGGCGACAACGCTCTCTTGAAGAACTACAGACCGATTTCCCTTCTGAGCCGCGTCTACGTGCTCTTTTTGAGAGTTATTACGAATCGTCTCGCGCGCAGACTGGACGACTTCCAGCCTCCCGAACAAGCCGGTTTCCGAAACATACATACCCTTCGGCAAATTGTACAAAAGTCAGAGGAGTACTATTTGCCACTATGTCTAGCGTATGTGGACTATGAGAAAGCCTTTGATTCCGTCGAAATTTGGGCGGTGCTGAAGTCCTTTCAGCAGTGCCAAGTGCACTGTCGGTATATCGAAGTGCTGAAGTGCTTGTACAGTAGGGCTACGATGGCTATCCGAGTACAGAACCAGAGTTCGAAACCTATCCAATTGCAGAGAGGTGTAGACAGGGTGACGTCATATCCCTGAAACTCTTCACCGCTGCAATGGAAGACGTTTTCAAGCTTCTGGACTGGAAAGGATACGGTATCAACATCAATGGCGAGTACATCACTCACCTTCGATTTGCCGACGATATAGTCCTTATGGCAGAATCGCTGGAGGACCTAAGCACTATACTAAATGACCTCAATAGTGCTTCCCAACGGATAGGTCTTAAGGTGAACATGGACAAAACAAAGATCATGTTTAATGTCCATGTCACACCTATGCCGGTAGTTGTTGGGAGCACTAAGCTCGAAGTTGTTGACGAGTATGTTTACCTGGGACAAATAGTCCGACTAGGTAAGTCCAACTTCGACCGAGAGGTCAATCAACGGATTCAACTCGGTTGGGCAGCGTTCGGGAAATTACGGCACATCTTCTCGTCAGGTATACCTCAAAACTTGAAAACGAGACTGTACAACCAGTGCATGTTGCCAGTGATGACATACGGAACTGAGACGTGGTCCTTCACTGCTGGCCGGATGAGGAAGCTCAAGGTCGCTCAGCGAGCTATGGAGAGGGCTATGCTCGGCGTTTCTCTGCGTGATAAACTCAGAAATGAGGATATCCGCAGTAGAACCAGAGTAACCGACATAGCCCAACGGATTAGTAAGCTGAAGTGGCAATGGGCCGGCCATATAGCTCGAAGAACAGACAACCGATGGGGAAGAAAGGTTCTCGAGTGGCGGCCTCGTACCGACAGGCGAAGTGTTGGGAATCCCCCCACTAGATGGAGTGACGACCTGGTAAGATATGCAGGAAGTCGATGGATGCAGGTGACTCAGGACCGTGCTTACTGGCATTCCTTGGGGGAGACCTATGTTTAGCAGTGGACATGTTAAGGGCTGTAATGATGATGATAATGATTATGATGTGCAATAGTGCAATTGCGCGGCTGGAATTAGTCCGAACAATTCCTCGGAGCACTCCCCGTGATAGATGCGATAAAATACGCAAAGAGATGCAACATCTCTACACAGTTCCAGTGAGTCAAGCCGATCGGAAAGAACTTGATCGTCGATGACTCGAAACATTCTGCACTGGATTCGGTCAAGTGGAGCTGGCACTGGGGAGCCCCTGCTCAGAGATGGGAACAGTATTCCATGTCAGGCCGAACCTGAGCCTTGTAAAGTTGCAAGCGATGTGCAGAAATGAAATACTGTCTCGCCCTGCTGAGCACGCCAAGCTTTTTAGAGGCCAAATTGGCCTTCTCTTCTGAGTGACCACGAAACTGCACGTCACTCGATATGTCGACACCGAGGATTCCGATACTGGCTGAGGCAACAAGGGGAGTGCCTTGAAACTAAGCATGTACTACAAAAGGGTTTTTTTAGCGGTAAGCGCGCAAAATTGTGTGTTCTGGGGATTGAAATGGACTAGAATAAGTCGCCCGAAGATTGAGACTTTGTTCAACGAATTTGCCACTTCTGACACAAGTTTGTTCCGGTACTCGGCGACGTTTTCTCGAGAAATATTGGCACGGCCGATGTATAAAGCATCACTTGTGCTGTCGTCTGCATAGCAATGAATGTTGCCGGTTTGAAAAATATCATTGATATTGTAACCCCCCCCCCTCTTCTATACATATACTTGTACTTGTGTTTCTTTAGAATCTATATCTATAAAATATATAAATATATCTGATTTACATGACCAGTATATTATAATCATACATTGATCTTTCTAAAGGTTCAAATATAGATATGTAGTGTTGGGCGTGCAGTAAAAACAGAAATACCTTGTAAAAACTCTTTATTTAATTTAATTAATTTTGCGTGCGCGTCTTTACAAGCGTCCTTTCCTCCATCTTTTTTCTCTTTTTTTTTCACTTACTCACTCACTATCATTCTTTTACTCATTCGTCATTCGCTCCGTTCCTTCTAGATCACTTCATTACGCTGCATTCCATCCCACATTCTGCCGTCCTGATCTCATGCCTGTCCTTAGGCATCCATGCCGCTTTCACTCCTAAATCTTCTCTGTTTCTGTTATACTGTTTAACCTCGTGAAGTGTCCAAAAATTTGTATTATTTCCAAATCTTCCTTTTGTCTCAACTTTGTACCAATCATTAGTGTAAATGGAGTTGTATCAATGTTCCTATGGTACGTGCTGTTCAAAGCTCTCTGTAATCGACTTACATGCTTATACCATAAGGAAGGGTCTTCAATGCATAACTTTGTCAAAACTGAGATGATTGTGCGATGCACACGTTCCACCTGTCCATTTCCACGTGGTACTCCGGTCGTTATAGTGATATGTTGTATACCTTTTGTCTCGCAAAACTCTCGAAAATCATTTCCTGTAAATGCGGTACCTTTGTCAGTTATTATTCTGTCTGGGTTGCCAAAATGTTGTAGAAAAATCTTTAATTTGTCCAATGTTTCCTTTCTGGTTGTGGACTTTGTTGGAAATATCCATGTAAACTTGGTGAAGGCATCAACCATTGTCAAAATGTAATTATACTTTTTTTTAGTTTCCATTAGAGGCCCAATATGGTCGATATGCAAAGTATGTAATGGCATACTTTCTTTTTCTGTAGGGTGTAAAAATCCTTCTTGTTTTCCAGATTTTCTTGTTGCCAGTAAGCATGGTATGCATGTTGTCCTGAAGTCTTGTAATTTCTTATCCAACTGATTGATGTAATAGCTGTTACTTATGATTTCTTTCATTTTCTTGCATGAAAAATGACCAATTGAAGTTTTTGATATTACCAATTGTTTCAATTCTTCTTTATACAGCAAATCATTTTCGATGCAATCATCTTGGTAAAGACCATTCTTCAATATTTCTTTGATAGCTTTGAGGCCTTCATCTTGGTCCTGCATTTGTTTGATTTGTTGATGCATATCGGTGACCAACATCACTGTAGGACAATCACGGCTGAGTGCGTCTGTATGTTTCATCTTTGAACCTGCTCGGTGCTCCTCAGTGAAATCAAATTGGTCTAAAAATAGTACCCATCTCGCTACGAGTACTTTAGCTGACAAATCTTTTTTCCTCAATGTTTTTTCAAATGCTCGGCAATCTATAATGATTTTAAACTTAATTCCATGCAAATAATGTCTAATGTAAACTTCTTTACACCTTCAATAATAGCTAGTGCCTCCAATTCGTAACTTGAAAACTTTCTTTCCACATCATTGGTCTTTCGACTCATGTAGTAAACTGGATGCCATCCGTCATGATGAAATTGTAATAATATTGCTGCATACGCTAAACATGAAGCATCAGTGTGTAATTCTGTAGGCAAACTTCCATTAAAAATCTTTAATACTGGATTACTAGATAATTTATACTTTAAGATATTAAACGCTTTTCTTTGGTCTTCATTAAAACAAAAAGGAGTATCTTTTTTTGAGCAAATCTGTCAATGGCTGTGCAGTCAATGCATAGTTCTCTATATATTTTCGAAAATATGAGGTTAAACCAACAAACCTTTGTATTTGCTTGACATTACAGGGCTCGGGATACCTCACTACTGCATCAGTCTTTTCTGGGCTAGGTTTTACCTCTCCATTCTTGACGACATGTCCCAAATATTCTATTTCCTTCTGGACAAGTTAAACTTTCTTCCAGTTTATCTCTAGTCCATATTCAGATGCCACTTCAAGCACCATTTGCAATCGTTGTACTGCCTGGCTTTGATCGCTAGCTGGAATCAAAATGTCGTCGATAAAGTTCAAAATAATCCCCTTATTTATTAAATCTCTGAAAATAATTGAGACAAATCGCATGCAATTCTTTGGACTAACTGAGAGTCCAAAGGGGGCTCTCAAGAATTCAAACTGGCCATGATGCGTTACGAAGGAAGTATAGGGTATAGATTCCTCGCTTACTTTTAAATGCAAAAATCCATTTTTCAAATCTAAAATACTGAAGAATTTAGAGTCTTTCAATTTATCAATTAAATCCTCTATAATAGGCAAGGGAAACTCATCCTTATCAATTTTTTTATTTAGTGCCCGGTAATCTACACAAAACCTAGTTGTCCCATCTTTTTTTTTCACTAGAACCTTTGAACTAGAATACTAAGAGAAACTCACCCGGATAATCTTCTTATCTAGCCATTCAGATACCTGTTTTTCAACTATTTCTTGCTCTTTTAGAGATAATCTTCGGGGTCGATGCGTCACTAGGATGTCGTCTTTCAGTACTATTTTTAACTGTATGGGAGCTTCCTTTTTCTGTACTGGTTGTCCATATTGATAGATTAACTGATGCACTTGTTTTTTCAACTCAGGATCTGTCATGGGACCTACAGAAAAAGCATGGTCACACTTATCAACAGTCATACATTTCATCCACTCGTCATCTTTCAAATAAAACCTCACTGCACCATCTTTCATTAACATAATAACACCTTTCAGAAAATCATGACCTATAATTACATTATACGGTACATAGTCGCTACTAATAATGTGGAAGACACCATCGAAATATTGATCATCAGCAATAAATTGTAAATAACACTTTCCTACTGATTTAATCTTACACTGCCCAATCCCTGATAAAATAGTATTGTTATTTTCCGCTTTTGTCTGACCTAATACCTCGTAACACTCTGATGAAATAATGTTAACGTCACTGCCTGACTCGACTAACGCTTTAACCCTAAGATTGCACACCATTATCATTTTCACTGGTTTTAACGTATCCGTTTTGTCGGTGCAGGTATTGTTTACAATCTGCATAACCTCTCCGTTGTAGTTTTCCGAGTTTGACGTTGACGCTGCTGTCAGATGCGGGCCGTCATGACTGCCAACATAGCCATCACACGACGAATGATCATTCACTTCCTGCGAATGAGTTGTTGATTCTTCCGTTGACTTCATCGATCGTCCGAACATAATGCGCTTCAACTTCAGGTTGTTACTTTGCTGCTGCCTTCGTTCTTTTTCGGGTACCGTCGCCGGATACCGAGTTTTGCCGAAAGTCGCCGAGTGAAACCGGCTTCCGCCGCTTCGTCTGTGCTTGGGCGTTGTTGTTTCGTTTTGAACTTAAATGATTGAATGATGCATCGGAAATGACGTAGCAATATGGCCGAACTGGTTGCATATAAAACACTTTAATCCCTTTTCTTTATATGGGCAAAATGCAGACGTATGATTCATCTCGCCACAGCTAAAACAGCGATTCGAAATGGTCTTAGATTCTGTATGTGCAGACTATACACATCACATTATCATGGGCGACTTCAATACTGACCTCCTCAAAACTTCTTTGCAATCAAGTAAGCTCATAAATATCTTGTCTTCAGTAAATTTATCCATCCTTCCCTGCTCTCCTATTCACCATAACCTTGACTCCCCGGATACCTGGCTAGATCTAATAATCACGTCCTGTCCTAATCTAGTCAATAAATATGGTCAGTTGTCAGCTTCCGGCTTTTCGCGTCATGATTTACTTTACCTTGCATATAGGTTGAAGTTTGCAAAAGTTGAACCCGAGGTACTTTTGGTTCGCTGTTACAATAAAGTTAACCCAACGAAGCTTCTGATTGATGCAAAGGCCATCGACTTCTCGCCTGTGTATTGTGCATCATCAGTTGATGATAAAGTATCTATTTTCACTAAATTAACACTGAAACTGTTTGATGCGCATGCACCGGTGAAATCTATTAGGGCTAAGCGGCCTCCAGCTCCGTGGATAACGAAGGGTGTGCGCATGGCGATGACTCGACGCAACCGAGCTTTCAGAAGGTTTAAGCGTGACAGGAGCAATGAGAATTGGGACTTGTACAAAATTGCTCGCAATCGTTGCAACCAAATGGTAAGGGCGGCAAAGCGTCGTTACTTCTTTGACAATATATCTAGTGCTTCTTCGGCGGATACTTGGAAATTTCTTAATTCTCTTGGTCTATGTAAATCCTCCACTATGAAACATAATATCCCATTCCCTCTAAATGACATTAATTCCTATTTTTCTACAGGTTCCTCACTCTCTCCAGTTATTAAGTCCCAGTCAATCATAGAAATTAATTCCAAGGCCAAACCTTTACAAATACCCTTCTTATTCTCGCTTGTCTCTGTTAACGATGTTCGTAAAACATTTGCTTCTATTAAATCAAAAGCAGTGGGTTGTGATAATGTGAGTCGTACTATGATCTCTTTAGTTCCCGAACTCTTTCTTCCAGTCATTACTCACATCATTAATTTTTCTCTGTTGTCAGGGGTATTTCCTTCTTTGTGGTGTAAAGCCTTTATAATTCCGCTTCCTAAAATTTCAAACCCCTTGCAACTCAATAATTATAGACCTATTTCTATTCTTCCATTCTTATCAAAAATCCTGGAATCTATAGTTCACCGGCAAGTATCAGGTTTTATATATAATAATAACTTGCTCACTCAATTTCAGTCGGGCTTTCGTCCCGGACATAGCACCACCACTGCACTTCTTAAAGTTACAGAGGACATTCGGGATGGCTTGGAGAATAGAAAGGTCACTGTGCTTGTTCTCGTGGACTTTTCTAATGCCTTCAACATGGTTGACCATGATATTCTCCTCGCTATGCTCGGTAATCTAAACTTCTCCTCCATTGCTTTAAATTGGTTCTCTTCCTACTTTTGTGGTCGCCAACAAGCTGTTCGAGTTGGTAATCATTTGTCTGACTGGTGTCAGCTTGTATCTGGCGTGCCACAGGGTGGAATATTATCTCCTTTATTGTTCTCTATTTTTATTAACTTCCTTTCCTCTCAACTTTGCTGTTCTTACCATTTCTACGCCGACGACTTGCAAATTTATACTCAGACTGATGTGGATCACATTGATAATGCTGTTATCAATATTAATACATATTTATTAAATTTAAGCAATTGGGCTAGCAAATTTGGCATTCTAGTGAATCCTAACAAATGCCAAGCAATTTTAATAGGAAGTGCTCGTCAGTTATCTAAACTTGATATTTGTTCTGTCGCTCCTGTCACGTTTGATGGATCATGCATCCCTTATTCCAGCACTGTGAAAAACCTAGGCCTCTGTATGGACTCAACTCTCAATTGGTCCACTCACATTCAAACAATAAGTGCTTCAGTTACTGCTAAGTTGGGTGCCCTAAATCGCCTTAGAAACTTCCTTCCGGTCAAGGTAAAGATAACTCTGGTGCAGTCTCTTATTTTGCCCATTATTGATTATTCTGATGTGTGTTGTACTGATCTTAATGAGAACCTTCTAGACAAGCTGGATCGTCTCGTAAACAACTGTGTCCGATTCATCTTCTGTCTTCGCAAGTTTGACCATGTTTCCTCCTTTAGATTTCAGCTAAATTGGCTTCCCATTCGCCAACGGAGGCAAGTCAGGACACTTCTCACACTTTTTTCTATTTTATTCGACAATCGTTGTCCCGACTATTTGAAACGTAAGTTTAAATTTCTATCTGATACGCATAATAGACCTCTACGTTCTTCGGAGACTCTTACGCTCTCCATTCCACTTCACCGGTCCGGTTTCTCTTCTTCCTCGTTTGCTGTACGAGCTGCGCGACTTTGGAATGCACTGCCTGAAACTTTGAGAAAACGCTCCAACAAAGTAACATTTAAAAAGTATGTTAAAGAACATTTTCTGAAAGTCGTAAAGAACTCCTAAGTTGGCGTCATCATCTGAGTTAATCTGTGTTAATAGTTAATTTCATCATAATATGTTTTTTACGTATATATGTATATTTGTGTGTATATATGTATTTATATGTGAATTTGTGTATATATATATGTGTGTATGTGGTTTGTACATATATATATATATATATATATATATATATATATATATGTATATGTATGTATGGTATTTGTATTTTTTATTTTTATGTTTATATGCTATAATTCCTAAATTAATTATATTTCTTATTCTGTACTGTTATGTATTATAATAACCGCCTTCGATGTTTTTCCACTCCTCAAGGTTGACAGGCAGAGAATGCTTTAAGCATTATGTCCGCCTTTTGTACTTATATATTTTATAAGGTTCAAAAAAGTTAAATAAATAAATAAATAAAATTCTTTTCAGATGGTTTTTGTCTGGGACTGCGCGCCTCCGATCGACGACGTTGTTCCATTTTACTCCTTAAAGTTTCGTTAATACGTAGCTATTCTTTTAATTCTGCGTACGTAGTAACATCACATAGCATTATCTTATTTGTCTCCAGATCCCGTATCCCATCGACAATATATTTAATTGCCACGTAATCTTGCATTTTCCCTCTCTTTCCCAACTCTTTCATAGCCAGCATATAATCCAAACAGCTTTCATTGTCTTTCTTCTTGCGTGTACTCATCGTTTCGTGTATGGTTTTGATGTCGACAGAATCAGGAAATTCTTTCAATACTGCAGCTTTTAGGTCATCCCACGACTTAAACGGTCGTTCCGCACGGAGCCAAAGCGCTGCCGTGCCGGTCAACGAGCGCCTCGCCACTAATAATTGCTGTAGTGGAGTCCAGCCGAATATTTGAGCATTATCTTCGATTTCCTGCGCCCATCGTACCGCTGTGAATGTACCGTCTTGTCCTGAGTAGTTTGGTATGAGCTCCGAAGTCATTTGTAGCATGTTGCCGCGAAAGTCAGCTTGTGCGCCGATGCTATCTTCGAAATCATCCTGGCGATTTTTTCTGCGCTCTTCTCCGTCTTTGCTCATCTTGGTGTAGGTACTCGTCTTTGTTTCGTCTTCTTGTAATAAAATGCCACCCCGTCTTTGCCACTGCCGCGTGTCACCACGTGCCGCTAGCCGCCGGATATTTCGCCTAAAACTCGCACACTGTCTTCTGAGGGATTTTACTGCACAAATCCCGAAGGGGCCCCCAAAAATATAGTGTTGGGCGTGCAGTAAAAACAGAAATACCTTGAAAACACTCTTTATTTTATTTAATTAATTTTGCGTGCGCGTCTTTACAAGCGTCCTTTCCTCCAACTTTTTTCTCTTTTTTTTCACTTACTCACTCACTATCATTCTTTTACACATTCGTCATTCGCTCCGTTCCTTCCAGATCACTTCATTACGCTGCGTTCCATCCCACAGATATATACTTCACAAAAATAAGAGGAGGCCTGTGCCCAGGAGTGGGATGTATATAGACAATAAGTATTCACTTTACATTTTTTTTTCAAAAACTGTCTTCTTTTAGCTCGGAAAACGTAGAGCCTACCAACTGGGTAAGTTCATACGAAGTAGATATAGTAATTACCTTTCGCCCAAATATAACCACTCTGAAATCTATATCCGGTCTACCGACTCCACGCGCGCTAAGATGACGATACTTGTTGCGATGGCAGCTGTATATCGCCCTGATGGACGTGGCTGGAGTGAAAATATCGACTGGGTTCCAGTACCGTACACCACAGTACCAATGCATTGTGACTTTGTAAGTTAATTCAAATAAATTATTTAATAATTTCTTATATTTACGCGTACACTACACATTGAATAAAACTACTTTTACAAATTCTATCGCATTTAATTAACTTATTTTTAAATTTTCGACGTTTTGGGTGCTTTACAGCACCAATCACGTCACGGGTCACGGGAGCCTGTGGTGACTGACGTCCCAATGTTATAGTTAACACGGTGTACCTTCAGCTTTTTTAATTATTTGTTTTGTTCCAAACTACGTAGAATGAACTTACTGTGTCTTGAAGTCTTGCAGTGGTATGCTTGGGTTTAGTTTTAATTTTATTAATTACAGGATCCCAAGCAGGTGATATTACCCAGCCTCCCTCTCTATTGAAATTAGGATGTTTTTTTTTTAATTTCAATAGCCTTAAGTATCATCCTTGGCAGAAAAAGAAACAGAAACTTTTTTATTCAATATAGATTATAAATAATACTTATTGAAAGTCACTCTTTTATATAATTACCACTGAT